TAATTTATTTTCTCAAAAGGGGCTGCTGCTTCATCTCACCCAAAACATACCACAATTTCTGTTATAAAGGCATAAATATTTATAAGAAAAATTTGTAGGAAAATTGCTTCCTCAGAGAAGCCCTGTAGATCAAGTGTCCCCTCAGAGTTCAGACTGATGTTTTCAAGGGTCTTCAGTGTCCATTTATGGCCTTTTTTCCTGTACCTTTCTCTGTTCCTTCTGGTCTGGTAATGTCCTCCCATACTTTGATAAGAAAGGCCATGTAACAGAAGGGGCTAGGGTCCCTCAACCCCATTGCTTCAGCTGTTGCTCCATTGCTCCATGCCAGAAAGACTGGGGAGGGAGTATAGTTTTTAGCTGTGCTCTTATGCTGCTAGGGCAAAACCGTGGCTTCATCATGGCCCTTTATACCACCTGTTGCTCTCCATGTATCTGCACTGTTGGAGTCTTAGTCCAAGGTAGAGGCAAAATGATAGCAGGAGAAACATAGTACTGGCTAATACCCAAAGTGACAGTCACAAAACAAAGAGGAGTTGTCTGTCTCCTTTAGGTGTCTGCAAACAGATACTGAAGCCTCAGGCTGATGGATTGTTCCTCTAGAGAGGCGTACTGAGAGGAAATTGGGTTTCTTTGCCCTTTTGCAGAGCGTTTGGCATCTCCCTGAGCAATGACACAGTTTTTGTCACCAACAACATGAAAATTCTTATGTGGAAGCATTTTTTTGCTTCTGTAGATATGGATGCTTGGGTGAAATGAAGGGATCACATAATAATAAGGAACAGGGCCATTACCAGCAAAACTCATTTGTTATCTGCTGTCAAGCCTCAGCAGTGGAGGAAATAGAGTCATCTGTGTGCCCTAATGAAATGTGACAGACATTTAGAGACCGAAGGCTGATATTTTCTGACAGCATCACCATCTGCACTCTGAAAGCTGCTAGTATCTGGACATCATAATCTGCTGTTGGCTGTTTATTGTTGTACCTCAAAATCGCAGGTCACGCAGATCCTGGACTTATATGTCATCAGCTTTGTGTGCAGTCCCCTTACCTCAGCTAGGATCTTAATTCTCAGTGTCTTACTGTGCTCTCTAGTTGGATGTTTAACTTTACAAATAATCAAGCCAATAGCCTAAGATGTAGATATTTGAAAGGGAAAAAAAAAAAGGAAGAAAGAAAAAGCCTTCTAGCCAGTCAGTAGGGAAAATAGATGTTAACCTAATTCTTACCAGGGCAGATGGAGTTATATAATCTGATTTCCAAGAGTAAGTGATTTTTCAAGGAAGTAAGGTTTTAGTACATATTATGAAAGGCAGTTTTTGCAGCTTCAGAATTCTAATGTGGCAGTAGTTTCTACAATCCTACACACAATGCAGGTACAGGGAACAACATTAAAGAAAAAAAGATGCAACAAAAACAGGGAAGTTTACCTTAGTCAAGAAAAAACATGTTGCTTCAGATATACAGGAACACAGAGAATAAAACAATTATTTTTTTAAAGCAGTTTTCAGAACAAGGAAGAAAGTGACCTTGAAAAAAAAACAGTATAGGTTAATTGGAGAAAGAAAAAAAAAAGGCATGGAAAAACCCTTAAAAAAACCCAAAGAGTGGGAGTTAACTTCACTTTGCAGACTTTAAGATTTCCTTGCATTATAAGGAAGAGGAGAAAAAGCTGAAGGCACAAGTAAAGTTACCGAAGCAGATGTGCTCCTTTGGCCTTGAAAAAAATGTTTTTTCTAGGTAAGGTCCCCTGAAGAGGGGTCTTGAATTTTCAGCTTGTTTCCTAGAGTACTGGGTTTGCTTTCCTGCCTGGTAGTAAACATGGGCACTCAAGGTCTTTTTTTTTTTTTTTAATTATTAAATAAACAAAACACCAACACAATCTCACATAAGGAGGAATACTTCTGATCAAGTAAACTCCTAGTGCCTTCTGCAAAGTTCTATTCCTCAGAGCCTGGCTTGAGACATGCTGCTTTCTTATCCACCCAGCTCCTCTGAGCACAGTGATGAGCAAGCTGTCACCTGACTCAGGACTGATCTTTGAAGACACATTTAGCAAACAGAAGGAAGAGTTTGTATATCTCCTGAGCTCAAAGAAGCTCTTGACTTCATGGCATCTGAATGTCTCAAATGCTGAGGAAAAATAGAGATTTCAAGCCTTGTGTTCTTTCAGCTAGTTACCAAAAGGAAGCATGCCATGGGGCTGGTTTCACAGAATCATTTGGGTTGGAAAAGACCTCTGAGATCATCAAGTCCAAGCTTTGACTAATCACCACCTTATCAACTAGACCATGGCATTAAGTGCCACATCCAATCGTTTCTTGAATATGAAAAACTATAAACATGAGGATGATGCAAGGACACACTGTGCCTTTGCACCTCTGGTATCTCAGATATCTGTTTTTTGGACCTCCTGTCTGGAAGTGAATACATGAATACATGAAAATAAAGAAACACAAGGTCAAGAGAGGAGCCACAAAAGCAGCACTGAGAGTGTCATTTTCCCGAACAGCAAAGCTCTGTCACTCCCTGCAGGTTTCAGTGACCTAAATAGAGGAGGACAACAAGATTCCTTGTTCCTGCCTATAGATTTAGCAAGTCTAATGCTCAGTAAAACAAAGTGGTTGCAGAAAAGTATCTACAATTCTGGGAAATATGATGGGAGGAAATACAAGATCTGATAAAAAGTTTTACTTAAGGTTACTGGACTGCATACATATAAACGTCTTCATCTAGTGGAGTACAAAGATCCTGAGCAATGTAGATATTAGACCTGAAAGTCTGGTGTTCTACTATAGTAGGTAAAATACAAAGCAAGTATGTGGTCAGCGGAAGTCAGCTGGAGCTAAAATCTGTGACAAGTCAGGACAAACTGTGTCCCAGGAGCAGGTTTTCCCTTGGAAGGCGATATTGAAGATCACTGCTTTATGGGTAATCCCTCAGCAAGAGATAGCAGGGAAGCACTGGCTAACAGTGTAGTCCTCCTTGGAAATAAATACTTCTGTGGGAAAGGGTCAATATCCCACCAATGAGGCAAAGAAGATTTATTATATTCACTCTCCCTGCTAGGAAGCAGATGGCTTTCATATTTCATCTTGTAGCTGAGGATTTTTAGAATGAGCTGCTTCATGGGAAAGAAATGAGGGGGAACAGCATTAGTAGGAGCTATGTTTACTAAGCAATTACAGGGCAAGGGCATCTACTACAGCAACTGGAGACAGGGTCTAAACCTTCTGGGATGCATGTGCAAACAGAAGAGCAGCTCTTTTCTCCATAGGGCAGGAGCAAATGCGTCACCTTGCCAAAAGACACAATTCAAAGTTTCCCATAGACACAAGGAGGTAGCACTTAAGTCTTCAGAACAATACAGTAGTGCTCATTTTCTACCTCATATAACAAAGCAAGCAATTACAGTCTTCACTAGCTGGTATTTCTAAATGGGGTTCAACTCTCAAAGCACTCATGGAATATTTTCCTTAAAGCTATCAGGAATGCCTTACTCTAACATTTTAGAATCAGCTCAGTTCAGCTTTGAATAGCTGGGTTCAGTTTCCATCTTTCATAAGAGCTAATTGTCTCTCTTTCTGAGAGACAATTGAGTAGCTCTACATTGAGCTACTGTCACAGCATGTGTGAATGATTCATGATAATTTGCCCACATGGCCTCTGGCCTCCTGCTAGAGGCAACTGAGGGAAAAAAACCTCACAAAATTCCCACCACAACTACAGCCCTCCCCCCCCAAACTTCCTTCTCTTTAGAACATCATTTATTGTTGTTACTCACCTTAAGTAAAAGGAAAGACAAAAGCCACACCACAATGTAATGTGTAACACCACAGGGGTTCTAATCAAACCCATACTAAACACGAACTATTGTTGTTTTAGTGTTAAAAGTAGCAAGTTCATATAATAAAATCCAAGTAGCAAGTCACTGGAGGAAAAGTTATTAGAAAAGAAAAGCTGATTATGTTAATTAAACAAAAAAAATCTGCTTGGCAGACAAGAACAGCTTAGAAGCAAATAGATTTAAAATATGTATTTATTTCTTGGTGTTCCCTGGAGCACTCAAACACTAGTATGCAAGTATGTGTGCTCATGCATTCAGTCTGAAGGATTAAAGAAGTGCTGGGCAAGTTGACTAAATTCATGGAAGACGCACTGGTCTTTAAAAATAAAATCCCATGTGTGTCCACAAGGTTTTGTGAATGAAGCTCTGGAAGTAGAGAATAGAGACCTTATTTCTACTTTTTTTGACACAGCAGGATACACACAAATTAAAAATCTATTAGGCCTCAGATACCCCCTTTGTTCTGGAAATCCCAAAATAGTGAAAAAGATTCTGCCAGAGCAGAAGGCTCCAAAAGCCTGTGATGAGAAACCCCATCCATTAGAAACTAGGCTCCATCAGTACTGCTACTCACTCCTTACTGAGTGTCAGGTGAAGAAGATATTTACAAACAACTCAAGTTTTCTCCTCACTCCCACAAACTCTTTTAACAACTTGATCCCTGTGTTGCAGAAATCCATTGAGAGAAATTAGGTTATGTCAAGAGTCAGATTTTCATTAATTTAATTTCTTTTCAGACTTGAGTGGATAACCAAGAGACTTAGGGTAAATCTCACATACTTTCAGGAATTTATTGTACTTTCTCTTATCTTTTCCTCTAATTGAAATTAAACTTTTTTTAGAAAAGCCTTCAGTAATGACACATTAATCTCTGCATTAGCACCCATTTAAAGAAAAACTGCAGCATATTTCATGGTAGTCATATTGAGAATAGTTACATAGCAATTTTACTTACCATTGTAGACATACTACATTCTGAGACATTTAAAAAATGTCAACAAAAACCAAAATAATCAGACACAACATGAGTAGAGACAGTAAGATTTTTAGGTGGTTGTTTGCTATTGAATAAATATTCAAGAATTTTCAACTCTTAAATATAATATTACCACAAAATGCTTTTATTTTTCTGAAATGATAAAATTAATATGGCTGTTTCCAAGTCACAGTTGTTGGTTTTATTTATTTTAGAGCAAGGAATTTCCAATGTAACCACACAGAACCAAAAACTTGATGTACAGTGGCATTTAGTAATCTCTTACAAATTCTGCTGTGGCCACGTGAATTTCCATTTAAGCATTGCTGCTTGATTACCCTTACAAAGAATAGCACAAGTATGGTAATAAAATTCGGATAATCAAACTGCTTGAAAACATAGCAAGTGTAGTGCAGGATTGCCACAGACACATGACTCTTCTGTTCTTTTGGGGTTGTGATAAATACAATTTCACACAGTTGTACAACCCTCTACTTACCACTGTAAATGCTAATATGTGGTGAGTTTGTTTTAAATACCTATAGATACCATTTTGATTGTCTTGTACTTCTAAGATATGAATTATTGTGCTGAATAATGCATTCATTACTACAAATCTCATGAGCACAGTTTGCTTCATGAGATTGTCTAGTGAATCTGAAAACTGCTTCCCCTCTTCTGACAGGAAAAACCAGAGACATGTAAGGTACTAAGAGTTTCTTTAGGAGTTCTTTTTTATTTGTAGAAAACCCTACATCACATCTGTAATAGTTTCTAAAGTCTGCATTTTCTCCAGAAAATATAATCTGTCAGTGAAGATAATACCAAAAAATACCCGCTTCTATCATGTAGTAAGCATATAACAAACCAACGGTAAAGTTTACTTTTGTGCAATTTTCTCACATGTGGCACAAACCCCAGTTGCATATCCTGGATGTAAGTGGTGTGCGGAACATCTGTTGTCAATAGGAAATACTAAATGCGTGCTCTAACTTAGGGATGTATACTCTAGATTGGAGACACATCATTTGGCTCTCAGGGAAAACTACACTATTTAAGCTGCAGTATTTGTTTGTCCTCAATAGGAGCAGGAGACCATAGAAAACTTCCTCAAGGCTTTGCTAGGCTTCCTACCATTTTTAGTTTTCCAAGATATTAGACTTCTGATGGCATCAGCATTCTGACAGTGGTGGACATGACTGTTAAATGGTTGAGTAATAGTGTGTCTGAAAGGACTAGGACAGTAACGGGATATTGTATAACAGTATAGTGGGAGGAGTGGGAGCAGGAGTAGAATAGGGTCATATAAAGCAGTGGCAAAAGCCTGGACTCACTGGCTTTTGAAATTATTCTTTCTCTAAAATGATTAATTAAAAAAAACATGACATATAAGTTTTAAAATTACATGAAGATTATTAACATAATTACGAGGAATACAAAAAAAACCCCAAAACAAACATATTTCAAATTTATAGTGACAAAAAACATTAAAGGAGTAGAATAATTTCAAAGAAATTGATATGTTCGATATCTGTCCTTCCTGCAGCATTGTAGGTGAGTCCATGGCAAACACCATTTTGCACCACAGAGTCTCTCCAAAAGGTTTGCTCTCTCTCATCCACTGGACTTGTCTGCTCATCAGACTCAGAATTGAACCTTTACTCATGATCAGTTTGCTTAGGCTCTCAGAAAGCAAAGATGCAAAGAGTGCTTAGAAAAGAGTTACCTCCCAACCAAAGGTGAACTGATGAAAAAGCTAATGGTAAAACAATTACTATTAAAACATACACACACATGCCTCAAGACCCAATCACTTTCACCTTTCAAAATTTGCTTGGCTAAAAACGTTCACCCAGTGTCTATAGAACTGAACCATCTGTGTACTTGGAATCCAAGTCAGTTTTCATTATTAGATGATTTGAAACAACTTTAATCATATTGAATTCTTCTTTTAATTTTTAAGTGAAAGAAGACTGAGCTAAATTATTATCTTGTATGAGTCGGTGCTGTTAAGTTAAAAAAAAAAAGAAAGAAACCAAGCAAATTTAAAAACAATATTACAGTATGTGGTTATTCATGGCTAAGCCTCTGGCCATGATGAATCCCAAAATTGTTTAACACAAGCAACAGGACACAGGAAGTAATAGCCAATTGCTTAACCCACAATCTCTTTGAGAACCACCTAGCTGAGTAGAAAAGCAGTTTACAGTTTTGCAGAACGTCTGCTTCTCTATATTTCTAGGTGCATTACTACAGGAATTCAGTTGAAGTAGAGCTACAAGCCATTTCTAGAATTAAATACACAGTTATTAATTTCAGACGTATAATAGCGCAATCATCATTACAGAAAGGGAGCATAAAAGTGAAGGGGACATTTATTTAATTTGTATTTTCTGAAAGATCATGGATTTCTTCAGCTATATAGAGCACTTAAAGAGTAAGCTCTGTATTACCAGCTTAATGCAGTGCTATTTAAGGTGAATCTATGTTACAACTGCAAATATATAAAGTCACTTTATGCACAGCAGGTGAGAAATATCTACCATGACAGAATTCAGACACAGTATATTTTCATCCTTCAAGATATTAACAAATTCAAACCCTTTTTTAAGACACTCCAGTCTTGTAAATCAAGCCCCAGAAAAGCTGCAAAACTGAAGAATATATTGGTGAACTCCTTATCATTGCATCAGTTTCTCTTCTTTCAATATCAAGAAAATAAAAGGAATAGTTGAGGCACAAGTGATTTTTATGCAGAAGTATAGAAGTATTTCAAATAAGTAGACTAAAACTTCAGTACTTATTTTAACTTTTTTAAAAAAAGACAGAGATCATAGGTATATGATCACAGTAATAGATCACAGTTACTGCAGTCTTACTGGATTGCTCTTTTTTTTCCCAAGATGAAAAAGAAATTGGTTCACAGAACTTGCCAAATCCACTTTATCCTGCCATTTCACATAGCTCATGTCTAATCAAAGCAAAGCACAAACCCGTGCTTCAAGGGAGTCTGAAATCATTCTGCTATACTTGACAGTAAACTATTTCTTCGGTAAAGACAACTTCAGTGAACCCATTCACTTAAAGAAGAGTCCATCCAGCTGAACTGACATAAATGTTGCACGCAGAACTTAACACGAAAGTGCTCTGACAACAAGCTTTTGAGAATAAGTTCATATCATAAGAGTTTGTGCTTGAAACTACTTTTATAACTATGGTTATTGTTTCTGTTAAGAGGCACTGCATAAATATGGAGTTATTCATCTAATGCACTTAATATTTCTCAGCTGAGGACTATTGCAGTTTTACCCTATGTCTAGGTGTGATAATACTTTGGTTTGCTTTACAACAGTAGCATTGCACTGGCAATACAGCTGATACTAAAGAGAAGGCTGAAAAATCTGCAGACTGGAGGACTGAAGAAACCCAATCTGCTCCCTTACTTCTTTTCATGCTTCTTGGTTAGTTTTCCTCTTTCTAGCTGGAGGCTTGCACTGTTTGTTCGCTTCTCCTTTTGCTGGCTCTCCTGGGAAACTTGCTGCACTGCTCGGAGGATAGCAGTCTGCACAATCTGCTTGCTGGCGTTCTGCAGCTTAACTTCATCTTGCTCCGTCCCTGGCTTCTCACCTGCCAAACAAGAAAGAAAGGGAACTAAGAACTTGGGACTACTCTGTGAAAACATGAAGGACAGAAAAAGAGTAAGAAACCCCAACAAAACAACCAAACCACAGAGTGCCTGGGGACAGTTTATTACTTAAGAAACCTGTCAATACAGAAGACGAATTAGGGTGGAAAGTGCCCCTGTGTGCTCAGTGCTACAGGACTGAATGAAGGGGGAGACTGAGTCATACAGCTGAGTTACCCACTCCCCAGCTCTTGGGACAGCTGCGACTTCACGGCTGAAACAAGCACAGATACATTTTGCAGTAAGACAGGAAATGAGGGTTTTCTCATCCAGCTGTGAATCACATCCTTTTTGACTTGAGCTGTGTTTCTGGAGAGGGAATTGGATTTCATTTTGCAAGCCTGACATGTACTCCACCACCATACAGAAAAAAATCTGTTTCATTAACATTTCTGTTTACTATTACTTCAGATTAAAAGCCCTCATCCATCAAATTCCAACTGACTTCAACGTACAAAATTTTGTTAAGTGCAGTTTATTAATCCTTAGCTAGGTTTTCAAAGATATCTGCACAACATTAAAAAAGGTTCAGATTGCTATACATAAAACAGAAAACACTTTCTATAGCAACCTGACAAATACATATTTCTTATGTGAAACTTCCTTGTTTTGCCAGAAGGTTTAATCTGGAGAACAAAAAAGTAATGTAGTGTGACTACTGACATTTGGTAATGAAGAATAGTTTATGTTAAGAGGTTTCTCTTTAAACACAAATGACAATTCAGACAATAAAAAATGCTCCATAACATTCAAAGTTATCTTGATGAAAGAAATATATATTCTGAATTAAGGTGATTTACACCTACTGGCATTTAGGAACTCAGTTGCCAATTGAAATTCTTAGCCTAGGTGCTTATTTACATCACTAGATTTAATTTTAAAGGTTTTGAAGACACTGATCTCAGTTCTTTCTTAAATGACTGATATGCTCAAGTATTTAATTAAATAGTATTTGTATTTTACTGTCTTTTTTAATGACATGTATTAAGAATTACGTCCTGAGAGAAATCAAACAGAGTGAATTAAAGGTCAGTTGCTTTTATGAGAGGTCCGTATCTGGAACTGTGATAAATTCCCAATGTTCTTTCAGGATAAAAAGATAGAAACAGGGTAAAGATAGAAACAAATGGAAAATCACTAGTTTCCTTAAGGAATACACTATTAAGATGTGATATGCTTGAGGTCCTGCACCTGGGTCAAGGCAATACGCGATATCAACGCAGACTGAATGAATCAGTGGTGAATTCATTATGAGCAGCTTTCTGGAGAAGGACTTTGAGATAGCAGTAGACAAAATAGTGGAAATGAGATGGCCATGTCTGCTTGCAGCCCAGAAAGCCAGTTGTATGGTGGTCTATATAAAAGAAGCGTGGTCAGCAGGGCAAGGGAGGTGATTCTACCCCTCTACTCTGTTCCCATGAGATTCTGGAGTACTGTGTCAAGGTCTGGGGTCCTCAGCACTGTAAAGACATGGACCTGTTGGAACATGCCCAGAGGAGGGCCATGAAGATGATCAGAGGGCTTAGGTGACTCTCCTATGAAGGCAAGCTGTGAAAGCTGGAGTTGCTCAGCATGGAGAAGACAAGACTCCAGAGAGACCTTATTATGGCCTTTCAGTACATAAAAGGGACTTATAAGAAAACTGGAGATTTTTTACCAGGGCAGGTAAAAGGTCTGAAAGGACAAGGAGCAATGGTTTTAAACTAAGAAGGTAAATTTATACTGAACGTAAAGAAGAAATTTTTTATGATAAGGATGATGAGACATTGGGAACAACCTTCCCAGAGCTGTTGTGGATGCCTCATCCCTGAAAACATTCAAGATGCGGTTGGACAGGGCTTTGAGCAACCTGATGTAATGAAAGATGTCCCTGCCCATGGCAGAAGGGTTGGACTAGATGATCTTTGAAGGTTCTTTCTGACCCAAACTGTTCTGCGAGCCCAAAACAACCTGCAAAACAATCAAAGCTTACTCAATGAGAAAGGAATAATTCCTTACCTCCCACCTTTCTATGAAAGGACTTAAAAACAAATACTTATTTTTATCAGGTTCATATTATACATGTTTTGGTTAAAAGCAAAATAAAAATGTTGTTTAATTCTACTGAAACTGAATAATTAAAAAAAAAATCCTGCAACTGTATTGTAATGACAAAGTTTGTCTATAATTAAGAGGTTAAAAATGTGAAAACTTAGAAAATATGCTTTAAACTGGAAAAGCTGACTAAAAGAAATCACTTGAATTCTTGGTACTATCAGCTTCCCCAATTCAGTTTTTCCTGCTCCTCAGCACTTGAAACAGTGTTTTTTTTGATAAAATTCAATGTTACTTAACAGTAAAGTATAAATACTTCTTTATTACTCAAATACGAACTCACCTTTTATTACACAATTGTAAGGTGATAGAAATTTAATTAGTCTTCTTGCAGAGTTGGTCAGTCAACTCAGCTGATATTCAGAAGATAATGTATTAACAAAAGCATAGATAAACATGAAATTCTAAATACAGATGAGTATGTTGTAATGGTCTATGATATTATATGAAATGTGAAAAATTTGCCAACCCCTAAAGCCATAAACCCCCAGAATTTATTGCTGAAAAGATACTATAATTAAGTACATTGCTGTTGAAAATGACTCAGTTTTCTTTCCTTTGGGATGCTTTGGTCCTTGCCATGTAATATCTGCAAAATCTGAATTTTAAATATTTTTACATGAGGAAGGTCATTCACAGCAACATCCAGCTGAAAAAAGGATAGTTTTCCAGTGAATTTCTATATTTTCAGTTGTTTATTTTGGAGTAAAACCCATCTGAAAGCACCACTCAGATAAGTGATATGTAGTTTTCATCTGCTCACCTTTAGATTAGCAACTCAGTAGATGATTCTTTTATTTGCTGAAATAACCAAGAACAGAGAATCCAAACCCCCTGGACTACTTCTGCCCTGCCTCTGAGGGCTTAGATATGCAGAGAAAGGAAATAAGGCAGCTCAAACAAACTTAATTTATATTTGTGTAACTTTTAGATAACAACAGCTAATTGGCTTTGGACACGGAGAGAGCCAAAGCTGTTGGAGTGGGGGTGATGTGACCAATGAGACCAGCTTCTGCTGACCATCTAAATTAGAAAGCAAGTGAAAATAATAGTTATTTTTGAGGGGGATATCTGGTGCTGTGTAGAGATCCAAGACTATTATGTGCAGAAGCTGGACTGCCAACCAGAATCCAGACATATTAAGCAGCTCCCCTGGGTGTGTGGTGTTAATTACAGCTGGCCCATCTGGACATGATGCTGGGAAAATGGTTCTATATTACCCTACTTCAGCGGAAGTTGGACAAGATGACCTCCAGAGGTCCCTTCCCACCATGAATTTTCTTCACTCCTGCGACTCTAGCTGGTTAGGTTGCCACAAACCCCAATTTTTCCACTTCCTGAAGGAGTAAACAGCCATGTCTTGAAGAGCATTCCCCACTACATTCTCTTCTTCCAATTACTTATTTCAAGGAAATCACTTAGCTAGCTGTTTCTGAGAAGCTCATTTATTTATTGATATGCTGGACCTACTCTGAGGAAGAAGAAATGAATTGACTAAGGAAAGCAGAGATGACTCATGCAAGAATCCCAAAGAGGCTGAGCTACAACATATCTACTTTCACCTTGCTGAAATACAGACTGCTGTGGACATCAAAGCAGAAATTTGACTGCCTGTAGAATTAATCAGGCATTTTAAGAACTGTGTCTTTTCAATCAGGTGAAACAGAGACATCACTCCTGCTGTCCGAGTATTTGGTGTTTCGGTAATCAAAATAAGAGTTACTGGAGTGATAACATACAATTAATTTTTATCTATGTTTTTTTTAAATTTGAAGAATAACTAGTTAAGTTAAAATTCCATGACAAATAGGTCACTTGAAGTAACTGCTGGGGAAAATTTGAAGGATATCAGAAGCAGCATTCTGTCTACTAGTTATCCTTGTCTAAAGACTACTTTTTTTTCTATTGATGTCAGAAGATCTTTTCTACTTACTCTCTATCTTTAGATGCTCACCTGACATAAAGGAACCCAGCACCTCAATTCTGTAAATAGAGAACTGAAATATCCAGGTTAAGTGATGTTAAATGCAAAGCAGCAATTTATCATTAACACATGACAAAGTCTCTTTAGCATGTTTTTATTACCTTATCTTTCACTTGGTAAATTTTATGCCAACTAACACAGAAGATGAAAATTAACTTTCAAATTCCGGTCTGGTTCTGCAATCTAAAGTTTAGTTTGAGAGATCCAAAAAAACCTCAAAATATTGGACTGGCTGCAGGAATCAGTCACATATTCGACATCCAGCTAAAACTAGCACCATAGATCAGTGCCTTGAAATTCCCTTAGCTTGCTTGAGGATGCTCTCCAAGAAGGAAAACATGCTAGCAGTTTGGAAAAAGAATAAAAGTATTTGAAGTAAATTCCAAGTACTCTTTTCAATTAATAGAACTAATATTAGTTTAAGTCCAAAAACATCTTGTGTAGGAGACTTTACATCCTCTGTGATGTTTCTAAACTATGGAATATCCACAGAAAGGTATACATAGAAAAAAATAGGTACAGAGAAAAAACATTTGACAGAACTTCACTCTGGTTGCACATGAGCCTTTTCTCATTTATACAGTTCACTTTCTTCAAAGCATCCCAAGTCATTTACTTTCCAGCCTGCAATCAAAGTAGTCTCCTACACTTTCTGTTGATATCCCCTGTGGCTTTTCCCTTTCAGCTTGCTACAAATTTATTATGCCTTATAAACACTCCTACCAAATATCAACAGGTAATTTGTTTGAATCAGCATCTAAGTTCTCTACTGTACCTTGTCATAGGAATATTATCATGAAACTAAACTACCACAGGCATGACCTTGCAAAGATGCAAGTCCATCCCAGATCCAGTAATGCTGGCAATAAACTGTGGGGTGCACAATAGGTGATTTAGAAGGAAACAGAAGCAACATTTCTGATACGCAAAGAGAGCAGGAACTAAATGGTGAATGAGCTGTGGTAGGAAGAAACTTTCCACTCTTGGAGAACATGGAATAGAAATAATTTATCCCATACTTTCTAAGAAGACATCAGTAATGCATGAGCATGCATGACCATGAATATACATTCAGTCTCAGGAAACTTCTACTGTCCCTCAATTATCCCTTTTGCTTCTTTGCCTGTATGAGGTTACTATTTTCCAAGGAGAAAAATAACGCCTTTAATTTTAATTCACCTTTCCTCAAAGCTTGTGACGTTTATGCAGCTCATCATGTCTTCGTGCAGGTTACATCTCATTCTGTCTTGAGGAACAATACAAACATTGCATTTGAAGAGAGCAGCTTAGCTTATATGACAGGTTCCATGAATCTCAATGGCTATGCATCAGAGGTCAGAAGTTTATGTTCTGCTTCACAGGAATAACAAATGCAGTTTAATTCCAGCAAATGAATACCACTAACGTCAGTCTTCTGGAAATGAGAATTTCTTGTTTGTGTAAACAGCTTTGAGCTCAACCACATCTAAAACTAAGAATAAAAGTCACATTCCTCTAAGCAAACTTCTGATCAATTTAGAACTCAGAAATATCCAAAATGTTTTCCCCTGTTAGCTACAATTTTAATTTATGCAGGAATCTTGAAGCTGAAAGAGCCAAGAAGTAAATATTTTTTTCTTCATTTTTACATGAGATTATGCAGGTATAGGCTTTAACCAGAAAATTTACTATTAGTTTTATCAATATATTGCTTTGGATTGCAATAGCTAACCATTATACTATTTTCTGCAGGACTGCAACATTAGAATTAATTTTTTTCCATTATTAATAAAAATTAATAATAATTCAACATAAATGCTGATCTCTGGAAAATCCATTTCAATTCTATTGAAAATTACTACTGTAATTTTTATAATCCAACTGACAGTACTGATGAATTTTTAAAGGAAATGACAGTATAAGTAAGCAAGACCATGATGATTAGAATTCATCAAATGGTCCAGTGTGGATGAATGGGAGCTGTATTTATGGAAAAAAGTTGCATGTTATTACCTAAATTGTTTTTATAAGGTCTACAGATTTAAAAACTTTCAGAACCAGGCAAGTTTGTAATAACATAATATACATGTGTATGTTGCAATAATTAACACTAACATTCTTTGCATCAATATCGATATTCTTCTACAAGAAACCAAGTTAATTTCTTTAACTTCCCTGTGGCATTAGGCAGTAACATATCTCCATCTTGTTGACCACAGCATAGAAGTCCCAGGTGAGCCGCTTCTAGTGAATATTTCGTAATCTGTGAATTAAAATGGTTAAAAAATCTCCTTCTTTGTTTTGCTTTAGAGGTTGGTGCTAGGACTTCAGTACAAAATGCCTAATTTGAAGAAGAGATATAAAGTATGAGGCTACACAGCATCCATAATCAGGAAATGTTGATGAGTCAGTTTAATTATATCCAGAATGAATGAACATGGCAATCAGCCAGGGCTGAAGGCTTTCCAACACATGTGCACAAACCAACTTTATGCATGAGAGCCATTAAGCTGTTTACAGGATTAGAGACCCAATTTGTCTCAATGTTAGTAATGATGCCAGTTCAGAGACCTCATGAAATGATCCTACAAGGAAGTTGTAAATTTAATATTTTAAAAAATAAATAATAAATGCATTCTTAACTGTATTAGAGTTAATTGTGTCCAGTACCATTTCTCATGCTCTAAAATGCAGCCTGATGAGGTCCTGACTAATAGCTGTCAAGTATTGGAAAGCATTACTCAGTTACTGCAATTCCTTGAGGAAGAAGGGAGGACACTGAACATATCAGAACAGCTTAAAGTGTTTTAATGTAGGATCATTGAGTTTTTCCAATACCCTAACCACTCTGTGCAGGGGATTGTAACACTCACTTTCACTAGAAAATTCATGGTTCGGTTCAGTTTTATTTTTTGCCCTAACATCACTCCCTAATTCCTGCTGCAAAACAAGTATGGAAGAAGAACTTCCCCCAAGAAGGGGGCTAGCACAGACTACTTTATTCTTCAAAATAAAAGAGCAGAAATACAGATAAACTGTTGCAAAGGACATAATAATATCTCCAGAGTAATACTTTACTGTATCTTTTTATCCAGACACTACCTATGTCTCAACTGAGTTTCTGTAATTTTTTTCCCCACTGAATTTTTCAATTTCTTAAAAGAAGAAAATATCAGGAAACCTCTTTGGTTTGCTTGCTATATGAAAACTGTCTTTTTGGAGACTCCAGCAATTTATTTCATACTATTTGAAATATGCCAGCCAAAATGAAGCTTCCAAAGTTGTTTTTTCTTAGAGCTCGAGATCTATAGATACATTATCTATTCCTAAGCATTTTTTCAACATATTTTAGTAAGGTTTCTTGCCATAAATTAATAATATTAACTAAAACCAGATTAAACACTTCAATCTATATATTTTCTTCACACATAGCAATAAATTCACTCCTTAAGGACTGTGTCTTTTCAGCTTTGAGACTGAATGTAGTTCAAAGGGTTGGTCACAGACAATTCTGCCACACCCAAACATGTAAATGTGATACTTAGATTTTGATCCCAGAAGGAAAATTTCTCATTCCAATACTGTAAAATAACAATAATTTATCAGAGTTTTTAGCTCTTGGGCTAGAGTTCAGTGTATCAAAAATAATATACTTCCTAAAGAGCATCCAGGACCAGCTAATTCAAAGTTTATGAAAAAATTATATTCTCTCCATCTGTACAATTTTCCTACTTCTTTAGGGAATCCATTTCAAATATTGAAATAAGAAACCTCTCTATATCAAAACCTGTGATTCTTCCATGGAGAGAGAGGTCCAACAGCAAAGAAACAGGTGACCTACAACAGAATCGTAGAATAGTTTGGGTCAGAAGTGACCTTAAGGATCATCTAGTTCCAAACTCCCTGCCAAGGGGCATCCACAATTTCTCTGGACAACCTCTTCCAGTGTCTCTCCATCCTCACAGTGAAGAATTTCTTCGTAATGTCTAATCTAAGTCTCCCCTCTTTCAGTTCAAAACTGTTCCTCCTTGTCTTATCACTATCTGCCCACATAAAAAGTCACTCTCCCTTTTTTTATAAGTTCCCTTTATGGACTGGAAAGCTCCACAAAGTCTTCTCCGGGCTGAACAACACAAACTCTATCAACCTGTCTTCATAGGAGAGGTGTTTCAGCCCTCTGATCATCTTTGTTGCCCTTCTCTGAACCTGCTATAAAAGGTGCATGCCCTTCTTTTGCTGAGGACTCCAGCACTGGATGCAGCACTCCAGGCGGACTCTCAGCAGACCAGAGTAGAGAGGGAGAACCCTCTCCCTTGATCTGCTGGCCACATTTCTTTTGATTCATCTCAGGGTACAGTTGGTTTTCTGGGCTGCAAGCATACACTGCTGGCTCATGTCCAGCCTCTCATCCCAGCACCACCAAGTCCTTCTCGGCAAGGCTGCTCTCACAGCTCTTCTCCCAGTCCATGCTCATGTCTGGGATTGCCCTGATCTGCAGGTGCAGGACCTTGCACGTGGACTTGCTGAACTTCATGAGGTTCTTGTGGGTCTACCTCTCAAGTTTGCCCAGATCTCCCTGGATTGCATTCCATCCTTCTGTTGTGCCAACTGCACTGCTCAGCTTCATGTCATCTGTAAACTTGCTGAGGGTGCAATCGATCCCACTGTCTCTGTCATTGATGAAAGTACTGAAGAGCACCAGTTCCAAGACAGAGCCCTGAGGGACACCACTCATTATCTAACTCTCTCTGCGTTCCATTTTCTACTGTTCCGGTGCTCAGAAATTCCTACACAAAGAAAGAAAACATTAAGAATGGAAAGCTAAACAACATTTATGTAGACTTCTGAATCTGTACCAAAAGGTTCATTGGTGGACTTCAACAAATCCCCACTGGAATACTTAGCTTTTGTGTTGGAAGACTTTTGTATCCAACACTGCATAGCATAAGTAAAGGGGAAGTTTTCAGTGGAGGCATATTCCACTACTAAAGGTTTATTTTGCTAGCTGTTGTATTCATATTTCTGCAATCTTTTGTGGGTTTTGGTCTTAAAGATGTATGTACAGGTTAATTAAAATTTCCTCTATCTGAACCTGATTTTTTTAAAGAAGAAAATTGTGAAGAGGTTATGTAACCTGTCAAAAGCCAGCAAACCAGTGAAAACAACCTGCTAAATTTTAGATGTGTTTCAGTTTATATCGGATTATTCAGAAGAAGAAATTGTCTAGCTAAACCTCACCTGATACAGAGCCCTTCTCTAGCTTTAAAAAAAACCAACAACAACAAAGAAAAACCCCACAACCCACAATAAAAACCCCAGGAAAAAACCCTAAATTTGCAACTTTCCTGCTTATTTTGGAATTTGAGCGGAGTACCAAAGCTGTTAACATGGCTATTAGCAATTGAGGCTGAGATTTTATATATATATATACATATACATATATATATGTATGCATATACACAAAGTCACGAGAGAAAGTGAATCAAAGATTATATAAATCTAAAAGGCACCTTGAAAGAGTAAAACCTTTTATTTATTTTTTTTCGTAGCTGTAATCTTGACAGAATCTGTCTTTACAACAGGTTCTTTTCCACCATTGCATCTAATTCTCTGTCTTTCAAGATAAATGTTTTCTGCTCTATTAAGGAACTATTACCTCAAGATAAAATGCAATGTCAATCTGCGAGAATTTAATAGAAGTAGTAATGGACATGCAACACCTCCATACTGATAAATTGTGAATAGATTCATTGCCCAAAGACAGAAAATACGGTGTCATTGTATCAAATATGCATACTACAAAGTGAAGCAAATGCAAGTAATTTACAGGAGATTATATTTGCCTTACCATTAGAGAAATAGCTGAGTAGTACATGGCTCAATTTACTTCTTCAGGCAGAAAATTTCAAACTCTCTTGAAGAAGGAAGACAGTATCTTCTGCAAACACTACTACAGGCATTTACAGGAGCAGACAACAGCAGCACCTGCCCTGACTTCCCTGGCAAGGCATTCTAAAGGAACCTGAAACATTTTGTGACTGTTCAGGTCAGCCTTTAATTGCTACTGACATCAGTAAAGACTCTTCTCCAATTGACATCCACTGAAATTCTGTAGGACCTTTCAAGTTATTATGTAAAGAACGCAATACAAATGAGTAACTAGTAGTCAGAAAATTTCAGAAAGCCTATAAAGAAATTATAAATACATTGCTTGCAAATAATTTTTGCTTAACCTAGTATTTGTAAACTTAATACAATGGATTATGTCCTTAATAAAATGTTTAATAGAAAAGATTGAAGGTATAGGAATAAATCTACCTTTC